TCCAGGCGTTGTTTTCTCTCAATATACAGAGCCAGAGCAAGAGAAGGATGCTTCATTTGCTTGGATCTTTAATTGGAAGGAGGGTGAAGGTGCAGAGGGTAGATGAGACAGACAGGAATCCTATTACCCCCGGTGTGACTCAATTCCACTGGAACGGCATTGATCATAACCAACACGACAGTTGGTGGAGCCTCGCTAGTACGATTTTTCATAACCTCCTCCACACATATTTTCAGTCTGGCATTTAGGATGGCCTGATAAGATTGTTAATCGCTCTGAACAAGCTTTCCATTCCCGGCGATCCTAAGACTCCAAGTAACAGGAGGAGAAAAAAAACCCATCATGTAGCTTTTGTGATTTGAAAATCTAGACGGCAAACAGCGACGTGAGAAAATCTATATTCTTCAGCTCTTTTCAAAAGGATGATGTCATCGGTCTACACGCAGCCAATCCCGGGAGAAATTCATTATCCGACATACCTGCCACTCATCTATCACTCGCTCGCTTCTTCCCATGTCTGAAATAACCTTTAGAAACCCTCTCTACAAAAATGTAGTCCACGCCCCGGCGAACCGACCTGCATTCCTACATACCGAGGTGCACGTCAATACCTCGCGGTGCTTAATCAAAGCTTGTGATGAGATACAAAACGCGCAACAAACACCAAGGGGAAAACCTAGCCAGCTGCAGTGGGAGTGGAAGTCCCAGGGGTAACCGCTACCGATCTGTGAGTAGTATGAAAAATACACTGGCAGGCGGGATATGATATTCCACTGCTGGTGAGGGTAGGGAGCAAGGTCTAATGAGGGAGATCCACAGGAATGGTTTCGGTGCAGTGTTGCATGACAGTAAAGGAGACACAACACGATAGACCTGAGATATGAGGCGATGGACATGTTTGGGTTGTGCTGGAAGTGGGTTGCTGGGGGATCCAGGTAAGCAACTGCCTGCATTGCTCTCAGACTAGTAGATTATTCACACATACAGTATGTGACTGGAATTGAAACTCAAAAACACACTGAGTGCTAGAGAACACTGAGAGGAAATGGAGAAAGAAAGCATTTGCTCACACATATAGGCACTAGTCTTGAGAATTCCAGGTTATTTTAGTCTGATGGTGGTTTGTTTCATTAAAGCAGTTTAGAAAAATCACAGTGATGTCCTCATCACTTTGTAGGCAAATAAATGCACATTTAGGCCCTGTCCCAATTGAAATCTTATGATTCCACACTTTTGTGATGTGATGCCGGTTTGACTATCAGGTAGAAGTCTGCTGTGGAGCTCTCCTCAGATCTGCCAAAGTGCACACCGTGAGCACCCTTCTGAAACCGAAAATGACGAACGGGACACCCTACGGTAGGGGTGTCCAAGCATGCTCCTGGAGGGCCAATGTCCTGCAGGGTTTAGCTCCAACACACTTGCCTGGAAGTTTCTAGTCAGTCTGAAGACCTTGATTAGCTGGTTTAGGTATGTTTAATTAGGGATTGGTGTTAAACTTTCCAGGATAGTGGCCCTCCAGGAACAGGTTTGGACATTCCTGCACTACAGTCTTGTGGACACACGTATACATCAGCCATTGTAAGTCCACAAGGCAACAAGTTCACGCAAAATGTGCCATTTGGACTTTGGAGCATTTGGACTGGGTCTTAAACAGACTCAACCTACTCAGCCTACTGTTTTTGACTACAACATTGAATTAATGCTCATAATTAGTGTTAAGTGTCCGTTCTCTGACCCTATTGTCTGGCTGTTTAATTGGGTGTAAAAAAATTAAATGACATTGAAAGGACTCAAACCATATCTAGTGGCCAGAATATGATAGAAACCACTTGATTTGGGCCAGTAAACAACAATCTAGGGACCACCTACTGTAGAGTACCCTAGCAAACACCCAGAACGACCTAGCAACTGCATAGCAAGGCACTCATAGCCCGTGTTGAGGGTAACACCTTACAAGTAGCGTGTTATGTCCAGGGGTAACCGCTACCGATCTGTGAGTAGTATGAAAAATACACTGGCAGGCGGGATATGATATTCCACTGCTGGTGAGGGTAGGGAGCAAGGTCTAATGAGGGAGATCCACAGGAATGGTTTCGGTGCAGTGTTGCATGACAGTAAAGGAGACACAACACGATAGACCTGAGATATGAGGCGATGGACATGTTTGGGTTGTGCTGGAAGTGGGTTGCTGGGGGATCCAGGTAAGCAACTGCCTGCATTGCTCTCAGACTAGTAGATTATTCACACATACAGTATGTGACTGGAATTGAAACTCAAAAACACACTGAGTGCTAGAGAACACTGAGAGGAAATGGAGAAAGAAAGCATTTGCTCACACATATAGGCACTAGTCTTGAGAATTCCAGGTTATTTTAGTCTGATGGTGGTTTGTTTCATTAAAGCAGTTTAGAAAAATCACAGTGATGTCCTCATCACTTTGTAGGCAAATAAATGCACATTTAGGCCCTGTCCCAATTGAAATCTTATGATTCCACACTTTTGTGATGTGATGCCGGTTTGACTATCAGGTAGAAGTCTGCTGTGGAGCTCTCCTCAGATCTGCCAAAGTGCACACCGTGAGCACCCTTCTGAAACCGAAAATGACGAACGGGACACCCTACGGTAGGGGTGTCCAAGCATGCTCCTGGAGGGCCAATGTCCTGCAGGGTTTAGCTCCAACACACTTGCCTGGAAGTTTCTAGTCAGTCTGAAGACCTTGATTAGCTGGTTTAGGTATGTTTAATTAGGGATTGGTGTTAAACTTTCCAGGATAGTGGCCCTCCAGGAACAGGTTTGGACATTCCTGCACTACAGTCTTGTGGACACACGTATACATCAGCCATTGTAAGTCCACAAGGCAACAAGTTCACGCAAAATGTGCCATTTGGACTTTGGAGCATTTGGACTGGGTCTTAAACAGACTCAACCTACTCAGCCTACTGTTTTTGACTACAACATTGAATTAATGCTCATAATTAGTGTTAAGTGTCCGTTCTCTGACCCTATTGTCTGGCTGTTTAATTGGGTGTAAAAAAATTAAATGACATTGAAAGGACTCAAACCATATCTAGTGGCCAGAATATGATAGAAACCACTTGATTTGGGCCAGTAAACAACAATCTAGGGACCACCTACTGTAGAGTACCCTAGCAAACACCCAGAACGACCTAGCAACTGCATAGCAAGGCACTCATAGCCCGTGTTGAGGGTAACACCTTACAAGTAGCGTGTTATGTAATCAGATTACTATTTTCAAGTAACTAGTAAAGTAACGCATTACTATTGAATTTACAATAAAATATATGAGTTACTTTTTTAAATAAGTAACCCAAGTTACTTTGTTTTCTCATTTATTTACTGACAGCTCTCCTATCCCCAATTTGATTGGGAGTTGAGGTGCAGAGGCACTTCCTTTAGCCTGAGGCTTATTAATTTCACTTTTGTTGTGAAAGGGCCTTTACAGTTGCCAAAATATAACTTTTGGGCATTTTGTTATTTAAAAACAATTAAGCTAGCCCAGCCCATGTAATAAAAAGTAACGCAAAAGTTATATAATGCATTACTTTCCATAAAAGTAACTAAGTAACACAATAAGTTACTTTTTATGGAGTAATGCAATATAATGCGTTACTTTTAAAAGTAACGTTTCCCAACTCTGCTCATAGCCACTCAGAACACATGAGCAACTGTCTAGCATTACCCAAGCAACAACCTAGAAATCTTTAACATCGTAGAAGTGTTCTTTGTAAGCATTATGACAGTAGTATTGTGTAGTGAGTGCCAGCTCCACTCACATTTTATTTAGAAAATGTATGTAAAATAAATTTTTGTAAAATATTGAAAAAATATTATCATTAAATATTATAATATTTATATGATTACAAATATTAGTATTATATAAAATATTATAAAATATGAAATATGTAAAATATCTATAATATATTTTTGTTACTGAAAAAAATAATAATTTACTAGATTTTTCTATGTAAAAAAAGAAGATTAGTTTGTGATAATGAATTTTTGAGGTCGCTATCCCCAGTCTGAATTACCGTAATTACAAGATTCTCTGTCTTGTAAAAAGCATTTATGTCCTTGTAAAACTTGTAATTACCACGTTGTAAACTAACATTTTCTGAAAGCTCCTATTTGACTGCTGCAACGTCACAGAAAATAGAGACGGCTTCAGCAGTAAACAGTACAGATATTCTTGTAATCTTTCTGTTTAATATTTCCTATAATTGACTAATGTTAATGCCTTAATAATGCAAGATTAACCTGAAAATAAAAGATAATACAATACAGTTTAATGTATTTAGCACAGATTTGGATGACTAATGTCTAATATCCAGCTAAAAACGAATTTATTAATAAAGCATTTGCGTATTGACTGTTTCTTGTTGTATTGTGGTTTTGTCTACTGATTACTCTAAATACAGAGATTCATTTTGCCATTAATAGCATTGTCATAGAAACGGATAAGTCAGAGGTCCGAGTAGAATGTCTGGGTTGTTAGCTGGTAATTACATGACGTGAGCGTGACTTAACATCAAAAAAAAAAAAAAGGGTGTACAAGGGTACTGCCCTGCGTATGGACTACTAGATTTAGTCACTACGAACTGTCATCATATCACAATAGCTACTTAAAGATTCTTATAAAATACCTACTTGTGTCAAAAAATAACAGCATGTGAGTGTAGAATGAATCAACAAGGCATCTTGCTCAGCAAGACTAAACTGTAGCTTCACCATTAGAGTAGTTGGTCCAGAAACTGACTATGGAAGAAGTTAGTTTATACTGGCTATAGTGGCGTTTATGCAACGCGGAGATTGCAATGCATACTAAACCTGCATAACAATTCCGATCGGACACATTTCATAACAATGCATAACTATAATTATCTGTGTTCATGTGCTGGCACAGAGTGTGTTTTATGTCCGAGAATAATATGCTCAACCCAACAAAATTCTAACCCGCATCCATAAAGTGCATCTGTTCTTACCTTCACACACAGGGCAGCACTCTCCGGGCACAGTGACAGGATTGAGACAGCTGTGACCACAGGCAGCTGCCACACAGCGGGCCTCTCCACTCACACACTGGCAGAAGGTACAGTCGTCCTCACGCCAATGGTCTCCGTGAGCCAGGATCTGCCCATTCACATAGCAGCCGGCTAAATTGAGCACTGGGTAGATGGGGTCTATACAGAGGAAGGTAAGAGAATAGAAAGACAAGATGATGATAGCTGCCACACATCAGTACTGACATCTTGCAAAATGTACCCTGCTGGAAAAGTCAGTTTAAGCTGTTTTAGAACATAGCAGATAGTTTCTGAACATCTTAACTTTGTACAAGCAACTGGTTGGTGGTTTGTTGCTGGTTCAGGATGGTCTACAAGTTTGCACAAGCTAATAACCAGCTAATGACCAATTTAGATCATCTAATGACTAATTTGGACCAGCTAATGACCAATTTGGACTAACTAAATACTAGTCTGGACTAGCTAATACCCAGCATATACTAGCTAATGACCAGCTTAGACCATTTAATGATCAGCTTGGACAAGTTTGGACCAGATAATGTCTTATACACAGAGATTCTGGAAAATTTCTGTTCCTGTACCGTTCTGAGATTGCACAATTTTATTCATTCACACTGCCAGAGCTTTATTGTGTTCCATGTTTTATCGTTTTCCAGTTACCAGCTCAAGATGATTTTTTCAGCAGGGTTAGTGTTATACACTAACAGAGCTACAATAAAAGAAAACAACATATATTAGGAATGAGCCAACAAATCAGTTCTAAACAGCAAAGTATTATTTCTAAAGGTTTTTGTTTTCAGCATTTTTATGGTCAAGGTTTTTTATAATCGCAACAGGAATTTTCTCAATATGAGATTTTGCTTTGGGTTTAAGTTGATCATGCAAATTTGCCACACTGACCAACGGAAAGCTGCTAGGTTTAAAAGTGACTTCTGTGTGAGCTGTGTACCTTTTTTGCCTGTGAAATTTCACTAATGTGACCTCAAATTGGTGGTTGTCAACCGCAGGCTGGTGCCCACTAGGCGGCCTCAGCAAACTTACAAGGGGGCCCGAAAAATGACTTAAAATATTTTAATATAAGACAAAACAAAAATTACAATAAGTGTAAACAAAATTCATCATATTTCATAGTTTAAGGGGATAGTTCGCCCTAAAATGAAAATTCTGTCATTAACTACTCGCCGTCATGTCGTTCCAAACCTGTAAGACCTTTGTTTATCTTCAGAACACAAATTAAGATATTTTTGATGAAATGCAAGAGCTTTCTGACCCTGCATAGACAGCAAGTAACATAACTACCACATTCAATGCCCAGAAAGGTAGTAAGGGCATCATTAAAATAGTCCATTTGGTCGCCGCCGATAGCCTCGTGTGCAGTGCGTTGACATACAGCGCTGTTGCGCTTCGGGCATCCCGAGTTTGAATCCCGGCTCGCGGACCTTTTCTAATCTCGCCCCTATCTCTCTCCCACTTCGCTTCCTGTCCTCGCTACACTGTTCTATCAAAGGCAAAAACGATAAAAAATAGTCAATTTGACATCAGTGGTTCAACTATAATTTTATGAAGCTACGAGAATAATTTTTGTGCGCAAAGAAAACAACGGCTTTGTTCAACAATTCTTAATTAATAACTTAATTTGTGTTCCGAAGATGAACGAAGGTCTTACGAGTTTGGAACGCCATGAGGGTGAGTAATTATTGACAGAATTTTCATTTTTGGGTGAAATATCCCTTTAATTCATCTTCTCAAAAAACGTTTTAATTGAAATATAAGGATTCCCATATTCCTGGAAAACATGGATATGTAGTGAAGCCTAACTGTGAAAGTGTAATTTCTAGAACTGGAAAGTCATGTAAATTAATAAAATTGTACAACTCCATTTTTCTAGTCATGCACAATGCGATGCAAATTCTAAAAAAAAACCTTCAGGTAGAAATTGTGTGTAAAAAATGTTTTTAAAAACGTATTCAGTACATCTTGAATGTCATAGGGCCTTTGAATATTGTTGCGGCCCCAAAAAGGTTGAGAACCACTGTTCTAAGTGGCTGATTAAAATGATTTACCTTTTTCATAAGCCAAGACTGCCTATGAGTCAGCATATGGAGTCATACAGGCTTACATTTACTGTGAGCCGTCTAACTTTAGTTGGCCGATTTTATTTGTTTAATTCACGGCAGTAAAACTCTCAGGAGGAAAGCTACAGGGGAGTGCGGGAGTTTCACTTTAATTAACTACATAACAGCAAAATCATTCGCAAACTAATTTCAACATGACCACAATCTGATAAATATAACATGAGCGAAAAATGTAGCAAGGTAATTCCAAGCAGTAATGTATTGGACAACAAAACCTACCCACAAGAGAAGCATAGCAATCGAAATTACATGCTCCCTGGCAGCCTATTACAGGTTGTCTACAAAATAAAACAATGAACAGTTTCCCTGAACTAATTAGCCCTGGATGCTCCCTGAATTGGGAGAACGCAAGCACACAAAGAATTTATCCTGCAAATTTAACGTCCAATCGACAGAATCTTCCACATCATGCAATGCAAAATGCAGAATATATTCGGAGAAGGTAAAAAACTAGTCACGCCATAATTGCTTTAGAATCTAGTTTTGTACATGGATGACACTATTCATTAAAATTCACAAAAATCACCTCAATTACAGGAAGAGCATCAACAGCAAATGCAAAACAGGCCCTAAGGCACAAGGCTAACGCTAAAGACAGCTTGATATCATTTGGAGAAAGGTGCACATATCCCTGCTATACGCTCTTGACAAGCAGTTTATGAAGAACAGGAATATTTTCTCTTTCTAACCTTCACAGACAGGACAACACTCTCCGTCAGGGACATAGTAGCGTTCGCAGTGGAGGACACCGCACTGGGCCGTAAAGCACACGGACACCCCACCCTGACAGCGGCAGAAGCGACAGGCGTCCATCCTGAACATGTCCCCGTCATGGTACTCCACTCCGTTGAAAGTGCAGGCCGGCTTTGTCTCTGCAAAACACAGTAATCCGGATGCAGTGCATTAGAGGCTGTCGAATATATGACTGACAGCACAACAAAGCAAATAGGGTCTTGATGACAGGGCCAAGAAGAATAGTTAGTTATGGGGTACGCAGGGACCTAAACGGTGTGCATTTGTGTCCAAGAGAGCTTTTAGCAGCCGAGTTTCAGATAGCTGTGGAATTGATGCTCACCGGTCACCATGGCAACCCTTAGATACCAAATACCCCTTTCAGCTCATGCATTACAATGCCTACACTTGTGTACATGAGACCAGCCTGCTTTTTGCTCCAAAATGAAGCTTAATGAAGGTCTCTTTATATGTGTTCAAACTCTGAGGACTTATGTTAATGCAGTTGTTACCAAAAAAAAAGATAAAATAAAACAACAATTACAGTGGCTGTGAAAGAGAACTCCAAACAAAAATTAACACCTCTAAAAAGGACACTAAACTGCAAAAAATCGTGTTCTTAATTAGCATCTTTGTCTTGTCTTTTTTGTTGTTGTAAATTAACACATTCAGTACCTTTTACTACAAAGAAAAGTAAATAATAGATCACAAATAGAACAGAAATGCACACACAGAACTCAATGCAAATCTGTAATAAATACTAAAACAACTTTCCCCACACTATATAATGTGATATTTCACTTGTTGTGTGTGTATATATATATATACAGTGGGTACGGAAAGTATTCAGACCCCCTTAAATTTTTCACTCTTTGTTATATTGCAGCCATTTGCTAAAATCATTTAAGTTAATTTTTTTTCCTCATTAATGTACACACAGCACCCCATATTGACAGAAAAACACAGAATTGTTGACATTTTTGCAGATTTATCAAAAAAGAAAAACTGAAATATCACATAGTCCTAAGTATTCAGACCCTTTGCTCAATATTTAGTAGAAGCACCCTTTTGATCCAATACAGCCATGAGTCTTTTTGGGAAAAATGCAACAAGTTTTTCACACCTGGAATTGGGGATCCTCTGCCATTCCTCCTTGCAGATCCTCTCCAGTTCTGTCAGGTTGGATGGTAAACGTTGGTGGACAGCCATTTTTAGGTCTCTCCAGAGATGCTCAATTGGGTTTAAGTCAGGGCTCTGGCTGGGCCATTCAAGAACAGTCACAGAGTTGTTGTGAAGCCACTCCTTCATTATTTTAGCTGTGTGCTTAGGGTCATTCTCTTGTTGGAAGGTAAACCTACATTAATGAGGAAAAAAAATTAACTTAAATGATTTTAGCAAATGGCTGCAATATAACAAAGAGTGAAAAATTTAAGGGGGTCTGAATACTTTCCGTACCCACTGTATATATAAAATGGTTTTCTATTTTTATATACTTCAAAATATTATTTATTTCTATGGTGGAAAAGCTGAATTTTCATCAGTCATTACTCCAGCCTTCAGTGTCACATGATCCTTCAGAAATCATTCTAATATGCAGATTTTTTTTATCAATGTTGGAAACAGATGTGTGTGCTGCTTAAAGGGATAGTTCACCCAAAAATGAAAATTTTATGTTTATCTGCTTACGGACCATTGACACTCTATCTACAATCTCAATTAGGAGTGTCAATGGTCCATTTGAGAGATGGGTGGCGGTAATGCACTTATAAGTCTGCGATCTGTCGTAAAGCAAGAAGAAGAAGACGCGTCGGCTGAAGAAGAAGACGCGAATGCGCTCAGGACAGTTCAGACATTGCGGTGAATCAGAGGTAAAAAACGATATAAATACGGTTCAGTTTCTTGCACAGAACGATCGTTTCGTGTCTTTATATCGTCACATGCCCTGGGGGTAAGCAGATAAACATCACATTTTTATTTTTGGGTGAACTATCCCTTTAATATGTTTTTGGAACTTGTGATATTTTATTCAAGGTTCTCTGATGAATAAAAAGTTAAAAAGAACAGCATTTATTAAAGATTTAAATATTTTGTAACAATATAAGTCTTTACTATCACTGTTTATCAATTTAACATATCCTTGCTTTATAAAAAATATTATCCTTCTTATTGTCCTTCAAACTAATTAAATTAGAAAGAAAAAATAAGATTAAACATTTTGCATAGGCCTTTTTTTCTTATGATAAATTAGGTGATCAATTATTAGTTTTAGTTTAGTCTTTATAAATTAGAGTA